CCCCACCCTGAGGCCCTCTGCTCCCCTCCCCCACAGTGACCTGCTGCAGAACCCGCTGCTGGTGCCGGTGAAGGTGCTGCGGGGACACGTGCTGACCCGAGACCTGGGGGTCCTGGACGTGGCCTTCCACCCCACCCAGCCATGGGTCTTCTCCTCGGGGGCCGATGGCACCGTCCGCCTCTTCACCTAGGCCGCCCGGTGTCCGCCGGGGGGCGGGGGGGGGTGCGGCGCACGCGTGCTCAGGACCCTCAATACAGGTGTTCCCCGCCGACTGCTGGTGTGACCTTGATTCGGGGATCCTGACCAGCGGCCCTCCCACAGCGTGGGGCCTTCCTAAACGGGGTGCAGCGGCTCCCGGCTGCCCTGCCCCCCACGGATAGGCTAGGTCCTTGCACTCCCAAGCCACCTGCTGAGGAGCCAATGGCTTTATTGGAAACGGGAGTGGGGGGTACAGCAGCTTGCCCCCCCGCCCCCCACAGTGGCCTCCAGCGGCCTCCTCCAGAAGGGCAGGCGTTCGACTCGTGGCAGGGGCGCCGGCAGCTCCCTGCTCCGTCTCGGGCAGGGGGCCCCTCAGGGCCCCATCTTGGGGTTCAGGCCCAGGCCCCTGCCGCTTGTAGGGATGGTGCTGCTGTGGGAGCCTCAGGCGAACTTCACCAGGCGGCCCAGCGTCTCGGCGGCCTTCATGCGCACCAGGGGGGCTGGGTCCTTGAGCAGCAGCTGGAGCGCTGGGGGGCAGGGGGGCAGGGGGCCACTGCCACGGACTGCCTGCGCGCCCTCTGGAGAGCGGCCTGAGCCCGGGGCCCCTGCCAACACCCCGCCACCCAGCCTCAGCTCGCGCTGCGCCCATCCTCGCCCGGTGCACCGCGCCTGGGGGGCCAGGACCCCATGGTGCACCCCCCCCTCCCGCCCTGTGCGGGGGCCACCCGCCCACCGCCCTCCTAAGACAGGCCTCTGCCGGGAGCGCCTGGGAGCCAACGGAAAGATAGTTTTTCCTTTTTTAGTGTTTTTTAAGCTCTTTTGGAACAGTTAAGAAGTTTCCGTGAATTACTAGAGACGATGAGGTCACCAGTGACAGGGGAAAAATCCTTGAAATCCAGGAAAATCACTTAGTCCCCCCGGTGCCCACAGGTCAGTGAGGCCCCATGCAGCCCGACAGGTTGGGGGGTGGGGGCGGGGACGTGCCCGGGGCTCACCTGTCGTGAGCTGCTCCAGGTCCACCTGTGGCCGGTGCTCAGCCTCCACGTGCAGCACCAGGAACCCTGTGGGCAGGGGCGGGGTCAGGGGAAGGGGGCGGGGGCGGGGCCCAGCGCAGGTATTAGGGGCCCGAGGGGCGCCGCTCACCTGTGAGCATGGGGGCGGCAGCGCGGACATCCTCCCAGCTGCTCTTGAAGTAGAACAGGCTGGTGCTCACCAGGCGGCCCAGCAGGTCCGGGAAGTGGTGCATCTGCAGAGAGGCCGTGAGCCCCGGGCAGGCCCGCCCCGCCCCGCCCCGCCCCGCCCCGCCCCCCAGGCTGCGGGCCTCACCAGGAGCTTGCAGGTGCCGTTGAGGAACTCTCCAAAGTGCAGGCCCCGCCCGTCCTGGAGGTGCTGCTGCAGGGCGGCCGCCAGCTGCTCACACTTGAGGTTGGGGCCGCTCATGCGCAGGGCGAACCTGCAGGCCTGTGGGACATCCGGTGAGCCCCCCTGCTTGAGCCAGGCCTGGCCCACCCGTGCCCTTTGGAGACTCACACTGGTCACGGGGGCCTGGGGGTCCCGCAGGTGCAGCAGCAGGGGCACCAGCCCGCCAACCACCTGCTCCAGGAACGTGTCCGCACAGCCCCCATGGCAGGCCTTGTTCAGGTGCCCGAAGAGGCGGATGGAGGCGGAACGGAGCTCCATCTTCTCCTGGCGGGTGGGGGTGGAGGGGCCGGGGTCAGCCAGGGTGGCCTCGGGCCCCTTCCCTGCGCCACCCTCCTCGTCCCTGTGTCTTGGGCACCTGGGGAGGGAAGGAACGAGCCCTCACGAGATGGGGGCGGTGCCAGGGGGCGCTGGGGCAGCTCGAGGCCAGGACCCCAGCCCCGCACGCCAGAGGGTCTGCGGGGGCGGGGCCCAGGGAGCAGGGTAGAGCCGGGGCTCAAGGCTCGGGGCGGGGGGTGCGGTCAGGCCTCTCGGTGCCCCCGTGCCCGGGCCAGCCTACGCTGTCGAAGAAGGGCCGGATACGGATGGCGACATGCAGCAGCAAGGGGCGCAGGTCCTGGGGCTCCGCCAGGTCCAACAGCCTTGCAAGGCCCACCATGGCCTCCAGAGCTACCAGGCTGTGAGGGTCGTCCCTGTCGTCCAGCCCGCCGATCACAGCTGTCAGGAGCTGGGGGCCGTGGGCCCGCACCTGGTGGGGGAGGGGGCGCCCTCAGCTGTGTCCCCAGGGCGCGGAGCCCTGCCCCCATGGTGCCACCCACTGGGCCACGCCCGTGCCCACCGCCCACACAGCGCTCCTGGCCGTGCCCCCGCGGGGCCGGCCCGCTCACCTTGTCCGGGGAGCCAGAAGCAATGTTGGCCAGGCCTCGGAGCACCAGCCGCCGCACGCTGGCACACGGGTCCTTCTGCCGGGCCGCCAAATTGTGCAGCAGCGGCTCCAGCAGCAGGAGGTCATCCGCGACGCTGCTGCTGAGCAGCTGGAGGCAGAGGAGCTGTGACGGCCCCCTGCCTCTGACCCCAGGGGCCTGTCCCCACCCTGGCCCAGTCGGACGTGGCAGAGGCCCTGTTCTCTCCGACTCCTGACCCCGGCCACGTTTTGGGCAGGTTTTTGGCACTGTCAGCCACAGGGGGGCTGCCAAGGGAGGCTTGGGGCCCAGGCGGAGGGCCTGTCCCCGCGGAGGGCCCAGCACGGACGGCACAGCCGAGGCCTCCCCCCACTGGGCGTCCCCCGCCCCCCAGGCCCTGCGGCAGGCCACTACCTCGGCCAGGAATCCCGTGGAGGTGACCCGCTGGATCTCATACACGCTGCTCTGTGTGCACACGAGCTCCTTCATCACCAGGGGCAGCCGGGGGCCGGCAAACTTGGCCATGGCGCTAGGGAAGGGGGCCAGCCGCACAGTGTGAGTGCTGGGGCCTCGGGCTGCCCCGCAGCTCCCCCCAAGCCAACTCCCACGTGGACATGAGGGCTGCCCCTGCCTCCCATCCGGCCGCCAGGCCCTCCTCGGCCACCTCACCAGGCCTCCATAAAGGCCCCCGCCCCCTGCCCCCTGCCCCCAAATCGGCAACACAGCCGGACCCCACGGCCGCCTCCGGTAGCCTCCCACATGCCCCTGAGGGTCCCAGGGCCCCAAACATGGCCCGAACTGAACCTGGCCAGCCGGGCGACCCCCTCCTCGTGCCCCGCCGAGGTCCCGAGCAGCCGCCAGCCTCCCTCCAGCTCCATGCGCTGCACCACCTCCTCGTTGCCGCCCCGAAGCAGCACGGCCTGCAGAGCATCCACGGCAGAGCTGCGGGGACACACGGGCATGGATCCGGGGGGCTGCCTGGCCTGTGCCCTGCCAGCAGCACCCTCCGGGGGGCCCTCGGGCTCTCTCCTCTCAAGCTGGGCACCACGAGGCGGCTTTGGACCCTCTGGCCAACCCTCCCCCCACGACGGGCTGGTGGGGACTCGCTGCAGGCAGTGTCCCCAAGGCCCCACAGCACTGTTAGGGTAACGACCTACAGGTATTTCACTTGCCTCGAAGACCTCCATGTAATTAAAATAAGAAATGAAAAAAAAGGAACATAGAAAGTTGTCAAAAAAAGCGAAGCCAAAGGCAGGTCAGGGTCTGACTTGTGCGGGGCCTTTGGACGAGCGCCCCCCGCGCAACCTGGGGCATCATCAAGGGGGGACCCGATGTGGGCGGCTAGTGGAGCAGGGTCCCAGGGTCCAGGCACCCGAGGGCGGTGGGCCCCCATGCAGTCTGTTCTGCACCTCGGGAGCCCCCGCTCACAGGGGCACAGCCATACCCTCCCCGGGAGATCCCAGAGCCCAGGGAAGGGGTGGCAGATGGGGCTCTGGGCAGGTGAGGAAGACACCCCCCCGTGCCCAGGGGCCAGGGTGGGGCCAGGAGCTGGGGCAGCTGGTGGGGTGCGCCCAGCGCCCTCTACAGGCTCCAGCACGAGTGGGGCGGCAGGTGCGGCCGTACCCGCCGCCCTCACCCAGCCCTGCAGGCACCTGCTTCTCCTGTCTGCCTCGCAGGAGGGGCCGGAGGCACCAGGGCCCAGCTGGGATTTAGCATCTGCCTCTCCCCCAACTCAGGCAGAAGAATTCAGGGCTGTAAGGGGGCGGGACCCCACAGGCCTGGCTCTCGGGGGACAGCAAGCATCGGCCCGGCACCCGGCAGAACCTCAGCAAAGCCTGGGGCCCAAAGCGCGCTCACCAGGGCTGTGGGACCACACACGGGGGGCCCTGGGGCCACAGCACCTCTGCCCTGGCGCTGGCCTCCCCCCGTGTGGCCACCTCACACACGAGACCCCGCCCCGGGGCAGCACATGTGACCCAGCCGGGTCCCGGCCTCAGCGCTGGGGTGCTCCACCGGCGGCAGGTGCTCTCTGACCGAGACGGCTCGTTTAGGGCCGTTTCTGGCGTCAGGACAAGTCTGACGTGCGGAGATGCAGGTGTGGCCGAGAAGCACGTCAACGGTTTCGATAAGGGTGCCTCCCTGGCCTGTCCACCCTGCTGCCCAGGATTCTTACAGATGTGGCCTTTCCTGTGGTCCGACTTCTAGACCCGTCCCTGGCCCTGCACACGTCTCAGCTCAGGGGTGGCAGCTGGGGACCCTTGGTGGGGTTTTGGGGCCTGTAGCCCTACAGCTCCCAGGCCATGGAGGGGAGTCGGCGTGCAAGGCCCAGGGCCGGTCCGGTGGCATCTGCCAGTCCATTCACATTTTCCGCGTGGTCTGTGCAGGACCAGGCGACTCTGGAGAGCGGCCTCTGCCAGACGGTGCGTGAGTGGTGGCTCCGCGGTGGGGAGGGGGCGGGCGGATGCTGTCCGTCCCCCTCCGAGGGCCGCTTCTGACCCCGCGGGCCTGCAACGCGTCGGGAGGCAGCCTGAGCTCATCGTCACTCGGGCTTCCTCTGTCGCCCTGTGGCCCCGGGCAGTTGTCTGGAGCCCTGAGGTGCCTCCACGGCAGGCCCAGGACGGGCAGGCCGATGCCTCAGCTGCCGAAGCTCTGCCTACCAGCTCCCCTCAAGCGCCGCCCCAGGACCCAGGGCCCACTTGGCAGAGACCACAAGGATCCAAACCCCAGCAGGAGCTGCGAGGGAGGGTGGCTGCACAGGCTGGCGCTGTGGGGCTGGTGCCGAGCCCTCCCCGCACGGCTGGGGGTCTGCCCGCCTCGCAGGAAACTTCTGTCTGAAGGTGCGGCCCTGATGGGGTGGAGGACGCGGGGCTGCAGGTGGGGGCTCACCCCACGCCCCACCTGCACCCCAAACACTCCCCACAGCTCCATCTTCAAAAGGAGGCAGGACTGGACCTACCTGAGTGCCGCACGAGCCCCCGCAGGCCTGCCGGAAGCCAGCACCACCCCACGGAGAGGAGCTGCCTCCCCCCCAGCCCCCATCCCAGACCCGCGCGACCTGGGGCATCATCAAGGGGGAGGTGCCAGCGCCCCAGGCACGAAGTGGCTCCTGAGCCAAGCCCCCAGCGCCTGGCCCGCCCCTCCTGTCCCGTCCCGTCCCGTCCCGTCCCGTCCCGTCCCTCGCCGCCGGGAGGGTGCCGGGCAGCCTCGCACACGCTCACACGCAGCAGTGCTGGGGGCAGCAGGCGAGGACCCAGTTACCTGCAGGGCTCGAGGCTCCTGGGGGCCAGAGCGGAGCCCGCGCTCCTTCTCTCCTTGGCCTGCAGCGTCCGCGGCAGCACGACGCCCACCGTGCAGCCGACGCGCAGCAGGAGAGCCGTGAACAGCTGTGGGTAGAGTTCAAGCACCGCGGGCCCGGACGCCAGCACGCTCATGACCTCATACAGCGCACACGTGGCCTGGGGACAGGGGCCGCTTCAGGCTCACCCCTCCCCCGGGGGCCGGCTGTGGTGAAGGCTGGGCCCTGCACCCCAAAACCGGGCCAGCCCGCAGCCCCTGTGGGCATGTACCCCGCGTGCATGGAGCTCTCGGCCCTGGGGAGGGCTGGGCATAGACGGGACCGGGGCTGCAGCCCGGCTTGGCCGTCAGGGGCGGGAGGCCAGGAGGCCGCCACAAGGGCAGCGTGACCCCCCGGGGACAGGCCTCCCACCATCTGCGCTCGGTTCCACAGCAGGAGGAGGAGGAAATTCTCACAGCTGCTTTACTGCTGGAAACGTTGCCAAGCCAGGCTTACTTTTTTCCGCAGGATGAAACGGAGTCGTTTCCCTTGGGGACCAACACCTGTGGGGCCTTTACGAGCCGGGCTCCAAGCGGGGCTGGCTCCGGCACCCCCGTGAGCTGCCAGGTGCCTGAGGGGTGGCGCCCAGGCCACCGGAGGGCTCCTCCCACCAGCAGCAACACGGCCCCTCACCGGCCTGCGCAACAAGCAGGGAGAAGGCTGCGTGGGGCCCCACTCACCGCAAGGGGCAGCAGCGTGGCCACGCGGCCCGGAGAGCTGCTAAGCAGGAAGGCCCGGGTCTCCTTGAACGGCACGTCCCTGCTCATCTTCTCCAGGAGCAGCCCCAGGACCTGCGTGGTGAGGCCGGGCTCCACGGCCAGCGCCCGCCACAGGATACAGGTGTGGCTGGAGCGGGGTGGAAGGCCAGTCACCTCCAGGCCACCGCCGGACGCGCCCACGAGCCTCCACCCCAGCCAGCCGGGAAACAGCACCTGACCTCGCATCCCAAAGAACCCGCCCCTGCCCCCGGGAGTCTGGGAGCCGAGTGGCCAGCAACAGAGGGCAGGCGGAACCGTCGTGGCCTGCACACGGGCCCTGGGCCCCTGGGAGCCGCCAGAAGCACACGGCCAGAGCGAACCGTGCGAACCAGGCCCTGTGAGCGCGACCCTTTTTTTTAAGATTTTATTTATTTAGGGTGCCTGGGTGGCTCAGTCGTTAAGCGTCTGCCTTCGGCTCGGGTCATGATCCCAGGGTCCTGGGATTGAGCCCCGCATCGGGCTCCCTGCTCCGCGGGGAGCCTGCTTCTCCCTCTCCCCCTCCCCCTGCTTGTGTATAAATTATTTATTTTGACAGAGAGAGACACAGCGAGAGAGGGAACACAAGCAGGGGGGGTGGGAGAGGGAGAAGCAGACTCTCTGATGAGCTGGGAACATGACCTGAGCCGCCCAGGCGCCCGCGACCCCGCTTCATGTGCTCGCGGAGAAACGACACGCTTCAAACATCTAGTGGGAACTGGAGATTCTAAGAATCGATAAGCAACTGTGAAAGCAGCTGCAACCCTTCAGAAAGGAGACCGGGGATCTGGGGCCACCTCAGCGCACCTGCGCTCACGACGAAGGGGACAGTGACAGGAACAAGTCCTCTCGAACTCAGCGCAAGAGCCGTGAGGGACGGAGAGGTGAAGCAGGGGATGGAGAGGCTCCAAGAGAAGAGGCTGGGAAGTGTGAAGGACTGACGACAGACGCCCATGGACTCAAGCGGCCCAGCGGCTAGCTGGCCCCGGCCCCCCACCCGCCCTTCAGAACTCGCAGGAGCCCGGAGACAGCGACGTGTCACCTTCCGCGCACGGAGGGACCTGCCAAACTAGAATCCCGACTCTAGGGAGCATGCAAGGAGAGCACCCGGGCGAATGGTGGAGCCTGCAGACCCTCACCGAGGACACGCCAGGGGACTGACTGCAGCTGAAGGAAAGTGACACGTGCCATGGGCGCCGCCCCGAGCAGCGCGGTGTGGGGGCCCAGCAGGAGGTGAGGATGTGCCGCGTTGATGGGGACACGGGGGAGGCACGGGGGAGGCACGGGGCCTGGCTGCTGGGGAGCCCCATCCACCGCCCACCACGCCCAGGCCGTGGAACCACACACTTCTGACCCCGGACACGTGGCCTCCGTGGACCCGTCGCTCTGCCCTTGTTGAGCAAAAGCGACCAGAGACACCGACGTGGAAGCAAACGGGCGCGCCGTGTTCCAGTAACTTTGCTTACGGACAGATTTTAATTACGTATGATTTTCACGACTCATGAAGTAGTACTGTTTTCTTTCCTAACCACTTGTAAGTTTAAAGCCCATCGTGAGCTCACAGTTTGGACAGAAACAGGTGGCCGGCCGGATCTGGCCCGCGGCTGCAGCGTGCAGACCCCTGGGCTGGGACAGTTTCGCTCCTGGGCATAAACGGGGGTGGGAGCTGCCTGCAGCGACCCCGCAACATGTGCACCCCCGACAGAGCGCTTCGTCAAGGAAGCCAGAAGACTGCCGGGTGACCCTTTCTACACTGATTCTATTATCGGAGTTCAAGATGGAGCCAAGCGCACGTCTGGTGGCCGCAGTCAGACGGTGGGACGCCAGGGAGTTTCAAGCAAGGGGCACACGGGCACTACTGGGGGGTGGACACCTTCCCTGCCCCCATCTGGGGCCTCCGTGAAAGGAGAAGCAAAGGGAGGAGCGGAGAGCCAAGCGGTGGGTGCAAGTGGGCGCGGCGCTCCTGACGGGCCGCCAGCCACAGCCAGACCCTTCCGTGTCCGTGAGGAGGGGCGGGGGGAGCCCCACGTGCCAAGGCCCAGGCCGCCCGAAGGGAGGTGCTCGTGAGCCGGGCTCTGCGCACACGGGGTCACTCTCAGGGCAGCTGCTAGAAGAACAGAAACAGCGGGTACGACTTCCGAACTGATTCAGGGGAAAATAAATTCATAAAGAAGGCCCTGATAAGCTCAAAAGAGACAAGAAAGATCAAGAAAGAAGACGGGAGACAGAGAAGTCCCAGGCGGGGGCTGGACTCCCGCCACAACAGCGGTGAAATGCAGCCATTTACGCCGGAAGGCCAGGTGGACAAAGAAAGGTCGATGGGGACAGGACGTTAGAAGAGATACCCTGAGGCCAGAGGCGCCCGCGAGGAAGAGCGGTGTCCTGACCAGGCGCACACCTCCGAGAGCCTCAGCAAAGACACAGCCGACGCGAGTCAGGGAGAGGAGCGTGCACGGTGCAGACGGACAGCACCTGCCGGCTGGGGTAGGGGGCTGCGCGGACCACCCCATGGGGCAGGTGAGGAGCCCAGCATGGGAGGTCAGAGACCTCGCCCAACAGCGACGGCGGGCCCAGGGCACAGGCCTCGGGCAGAGAGAGACCCTCTCCTTTGAGGGTTGCTGGCAGAAACTCGGGCGCTGGGAGTGCAAGCGGGGGGGACCCTTCCCCAGCGGAGGAGGGGGTCTGCTCACACACGATGGCGCGTGCCCCGCAGAGGGCAAGCTGGGGCACAGAATGCAGGAGGGGGCTAGCAACAGGCGGGAGCCTCAGGTCCTGTGTCTGGGCCAGGCCTTGGCTTGGAGCCCCGGCAGCAGGAGTCCCATCCCGCCCCCCCGGCAGGCTGGCAGGTGCCACGTACCTGTCAAAGGGCAGCGGGCTGCCCAGGAGGCTGGACACCACGGCGGCGCAGTGCTGGGACGCCAGGAGGTACACGCTGTGCTGTGCAGCCTGCAGGACGTACTCCTCCCGTGTCTCCTGCAGCTTTGAGCGGAGCACGCTCACGATCTCGGGCACCTGCGGGCAAGGGGCCACGGAGGTCAGGCCCCGGGCACACACCCACACCCAGAGCCATTCCAGCGCCACCAGAGCAGGGGGGCCTGCGGAGGGCGGCTGGCTGTGAGCCCCACTCGCCGGGGTCATGGGGAGGGAAACCCCACAGATCAATGCTGGCCACCAGACCAAAGGGAGAAGGCAAGAGGCTGGCGCCCCCGGGGGAGACGCCGTGGTCCTGGCCCGAGGACCGAGAGTCCATGTGGGAAGCGACAGCACCCGAGAGGCCCGCCAGGGGTGGAGGGGGCACGCAGGGCACGGGGCGGCGGTCTGGGGGGCACGCAGGGCACGGGAGGCGGCGGCCAGTGGGGTGCGCACGGAGGCCACCAGCCCCTGCGGGGCCCTCACCCCCCTGGGGAAGGGAAACCGGCCTCTGGCCCCTGGGACGGCACACACAGCCGCCCTCGCCCGGCGAGGAGGAGGTGAGCGGTGCGCCAGGGCAGGGAGGACCAGGAAGCGGACACTGGTTCTTGGGCCATGGCTGGGCAGGGCGGGCAGGCTGCTGTCGTCCCAGAAGCCAGAGGGGCCATCGGGGACAAGAAGGGGCGGGCAGAGTGCGACTGCAGGCAGCCTGTGCCTCGGGCCCACCCTAGTCCTATTCTGGGCATGGCGTCACCGTGGGTCCCTGGGCCCACGGGGAGGGGGTGCCGGCCCCCAGCACCGCGATCCGCGGCTGCCGGAGCCAGCCTGAGAGGACAGCAGACCAGACAGCTGCAGGCACACAGTGCCCCGGACGGGGGCAGCCCGCAGACCGTGTGCGCCACCACCCCCTGGACGCCCGGGCGGCAGGAGCAGCAGGAAGGGCCTGGCCACGGCTCTGACAGTGGAACGTTCCAGGCCAGGCCCACGCCTGCTTGTGTGGTGGAGCATCTTGCAACGGCATGTTGGGGACAAGGCTGGGGAGAGGGCGTGGGAGGCCATGTGCCTGGGTCGGGGGGGGCACAGGTCCCTGCCTGGGCCGCGGGGGGCGGGGGGGTGTCACTGCCATTTCTCAAAGGACTTGTGGGTACAGAAAGTGGATCAGCAGCCTGTGAAGCGGCACACTCACGCCAGGGTCGTCCTCCCACTGACCTGGCCCTCTCTGCCTCCTACGCCCCGCCAGCTGGGGCCCCCCGCCCGGCCCCGCCCCAGGTCCACGGGAGCCGCCAGTTGCCACAGGAAACCGCGTCCTCCACACGCCGGCCGAGGGGAGTTCCGGCAGTGAGGACGGCAGTGAGGACGTGTGGAGCCAGGAGCGGTGTTTCCCACACCCGCTGGGTGCAGTCACGTCCACAGGACCTCCCATCCAAGCTCACTGCTGAACACGCTCCGTTCTCCCGGGCTCTTGGCCCGGACACGCGCCTCGCACATGCTCTCGGCTGTGACTGTGGCTGTCAGTCCACCTGACTTTTGCATCCCTCCCACGGTCATGTTGGCGAGTCTGGCGGCTTCGGGGCGGGCTCTCCAGCACACGGGAGCAAGCTGCTTCCCTTCCTTTGCTCACTTTGGATGTTGGTTCTCTGCTTGTCAGAGGTATTTCCTTCGAATTGTTTCAGTGGGTTTATCTACCTTCTCTGATGTTTTCCTTGGTTCTACATACTTCGTTCAGCAGCTAGAGCCCTGGAGTACATGGCGGCAGGTCCCGGGGTGGGGCTGGGGAGGCTCCCAGCCCGGGGTCGGCACCGGTGAGCCGGGCCTGTCCTGTCCCAGGATGGGGGGTCAGCGTTCCGACGGCCCACCATGTGGGGCTTGGCCTGCACGCCCTATACCTTCCAGGCTGTTCCCGTCTCACCTTTACCAGCCCCACGCCTTCTCGCGCTCTCCTGCTCCGTGGTTTCTTCACACAGAGCCCACCCGCCGTGTGTGCAGCTCAGTGGTCTTTACGGTGTTCACAGGGTCGTGCAACCATCAGCACCATCCATCTGAGAACGTTTCCATCACCCCCCAAAGAAACCTCATATCCTTAGCCACCCCTCCCCGCCCCTGGCGGCCACCAGCCCACCGTCTGTCCGTCCCCGTGGACTCGCCTGTTCTGGACGCCAGAGCAATGGACTCACACACCGTGTGGCCTTTGGTGACTCGTTTCTTTCATCTTGCACCACGTTTTCAGGGTTCATCCACATGTCGTGTGTTTCAGGGCTTCACTCCTCTCGGTTGCCGAATCGTCGTTCGGTGTATGGGTAGGACGCAGTTTATTTATCTGTTTATTGACAGACGTTTGGGTTGTGTCCATTATTTGGCCATTATGGATAATGCTGCTGTGAGCGTCTAGAGTCTTCGTGTGGACGTCTGTTTCCACCTCTCTTGGCAAAGGCCTTGGAGAAGAGCCGCCGGGCCACGGGTGACTCTACCGCAGGGTTGGCATTGCTGCTGGCCCCATGTCGTGTGAGTCCAGTCTGTCCTGTTCCCTTGGCTTCCCCTGCACATTCCCTGCGACCCACAGAAGGCCCTTCTCCGACTTCCACCACCACGAGGTTAGGAGCCTGCGGATGGCGCCCCGTCAAAACCATTAGGAAGTACCACCTCACACCCAGCAGGATGGCTAGTGTCAAAACCCCCAAGAGAGATAACAGGAGTTGGCGGAGATGTGGAGAAACTGGGGCCCGTGTGCACTCTCGGTGGGAGTGCAAACTAGCCACTGTGCGAAACAGCCTGGCAGCTCCTCAGAAAATTAATAGAGCTACTGTATGATCCAGTAACCCCGCTACTGGGTGTTCACCCAAAGAACATAAAGCGAGATCACAAAGAGACCCCTGTCCATGCACATTCACTGCATTACTTGCAACAGCCAAGAGGTGGAAGCAACTCGAGTGTCCCCGGACAGATGAGCGGGTAAACAGAATGCAGCCTGTGCGTGCACTCACCAGGACACCGGCGGCCACTGCTTCTGGTCTGGTCCACCTGCCTCACTCACACAGGGCCTAGGGCACCTCCTACCACTCAAATCCTGGGGAGCCCCGCTGAATGCAGAATAAAATCCAAACCTTCACCCAGCAAACCCCATCACAGCTGTGCCCTCTTCCCCCACTCCCGCCGCAGCTCTCCTCCCAAGTCCAGACTCGGCCAACACCTCCACGCCCACTGCAGCCCTGCAGCCCTGTGCCAAGTGCCGAGTGCTGGACAAGGTGTCACCACCCAGCTCCCTTGTCACATGGCCCTGCCCAGTGCTCGTTCATCTTCTCCATCCACAAATTCCTGTTCATTCCTGAGAAGGTGCTTGTGATATATGCATATGCATACGTCTGTGTCTACCTCCAACAGAGAATTCATATTCAGAACATATAAAGTACTTCCACAATCAATAAGAAAAGCACAGACAACCCAGAAGAGACAGGGGCAGAACACTGGTGCTTTTTTTTTTTTTTAAAGATCCCATTAATTTATCTGACAGAGAGAGAGAGACAGTGAGAGAGGGAACACAAGCAGGGGGAGCGGGAGAGGGAGAAGCAGGCTTCCAGCCGAGCAGGGAGCCCGATGCGAAGCTCGATCACAGGACCCTGGGACCATGACCTGAGCCGAAGGCAGACGCTTAATGACTGAGCCACCCAGGCGCCCCAGAACACTGGTGTCTTCATGAAGGAGGACACCTGAGTAGCCAGTAAACACGTACAAATGTGTTCAACTTCATCAGCCACCGGAGAAGCGCAAACTGAACTCTTACGTGAAGCCCTGACACACCCAGCAGAAAGGGTGGGAATCACAGTGTTGACGACGATGGGGCACACCAGAGCCCTCCTTGCTGCTGGCGGGAGGTGAGCTGTGCCCTGCCTGGAAGGCCACCTGGGACATCTACACACGGGCCGCTCCTGCAGGCCCCGGTCCTTCCACCGGTATGTCCCCAACAGACACGCACCCTTATGTCCGAAGGACCTGGACTCTGACAGTTCGTGTCAAGACAGCCCAGACTGGGAACTGAGGCCGGCGGATGAATGAACCACAGTGCACACGCAGGAAGGAGTGAGGTGTGACTGAACGAGGCAACAACACGCATGACCTCACATGTTAACACTGGGAGGCGCTGCACACAAGGACACAGGTGGGTGATTTCATCCCTGGAAGGCTGTGCTCTGTGCTGCTGGGAGACGATGACACCCTATGGGGTGTCGGGTGGGGACCAGAGGCTCAGGAACTGGCGGGATGCTCTGCTCGTGCACCTCTGGGGGGACTCCCAGGGCCGTGTACAAGTTCTCTGCTCGTATGCTTTCCAGGCATACGACAGGGCAGGCAGTCCAGCAGCCCCCGGGCCCTGGGAGCCTGCCTCAGACCTACAAGACCTGTCTGTCGACCCACACGGTGGACACAGAGCTGCTGCCAATGCACATTTGGGAACTGCGTAGACAGCCACCTGAGCTCCCGCCAAGAGGACGCAGAGGTGACAGGGTGAACGTGCGGGCGTAAGGAGGCGGGCGGCACCTGAGCGTCCTGGGCATGACCTCTCTGGGCCAGCCGGCTGCGGGACTCTTCGGTACTGGGGCAGAGCGCCCAGCCAGTGCCCACTCGCCAAAGGGCTCCCTACACCTTACCCCTGCATCTTCCCTTTCCTTCCCCCTCCCCCTCAATTTCTCACCAGTTACTTGTACCCAATTCTAACTTGTCTTCAATCAGAGGAGAAAAACTTGTCCTTATTAGGCCCGCAGGGCAAGGGGACAGGAGCAGAGACAGCAGGAGCCCCAACGTACGCAGCCCCGCCCCGCAG